TCAATGTCAGAACCTCTGTAACAATTCCTGTTTTTGAACTATCCACAGTTAAATGAGAACATATTTGAGGTTCTTGGAATCCAACATTCTGTGGCCAGTGCGTATCACCCTCAGACAAACGGCCAGGTAATGAATTCATTCTTTTTTTAAATGTAATTCGTACATATCTTCAGACTTTTGTAAGAAAAATATCATTAAATATTATTATGATATTCTGTCACAATTTTTCAATGTTTAGGATGAACAAACAAATCAAAATGTAAAACGGGCTCTTAGAAAATATGTCAACAATAATCACAATGACTGGGACATCCACCTGCCTGCAGTTGTGTATGGCATAAACACAGCTTTGCAAGTAAGTGTTTCGTGGTGTTTTCCTCCTGGTTGTTCATTACATGTTTTTTGTTTTACCTGATGGTAATAGTGACCTTTACCTTGGTAAATGCTCCTCATATTTGTATCCAGGCTTCCACAAAGCATACACCTTTATATTTGATGTTCAACCGGCATCCACGCTTACCTGAGGTGATGAATGCTTGTCCCATGGGAGATACATTTGACATAGGAGATCCGGAGGAGGACATCGACACTGTGGTGAGCCAAATGAAGGAGTTGAATAAAAAGGTCAGTGCCCTTTCAAATCCAACCGACATTGAAAGGCAAATATGAGAGAATGTTAACTTCAATTCACTCTGATTTTGTAGGTTCTTAACAACATAGAAAATGCCCAGGCAAGACAGCAAAAGTCTTAAAATCAACTTTTTTATAGAAAATGTGTTATGTAATTAAATTTCATTTTAAATAAAATGAAAGACATTAGTCTTAACCCAAATAAAAGAACCCAATGAAAAGAGTTGTTAAATAATAGTGAAATCTCTCTCGAGTTTTCCTTTTGAGCTTTGCCAAAAGCCACTGTGTCAATTTTATAATAGTGAAATCTCTCTCGAGTTTTCCTTTTGAGCTTTGCCCAAAGCCACTGTGTCAATTTTGTCCTACTTGGGTTGCCGTCCGGAGTTGTCCAATATGGCGGACCATCTCGCACATGCGCACTGCAGATCGGGCAGAGCTGCAGATCGGGTAGTGACACTGCTCATTAGCGCATGATGATAAAATGGCCCACCTTTTGAGAGAGTGAAACGTCACAGATTACCCAGCATGCCTGAGAAGTACCCGTATGTGCGCTCATAGAGCATGCGCAACTTTAACCAAAATGCTCGTTCACATCAAGCACGTCAATTTGCGTACACGTAACAGCACCGCGTGTTCATGACAGCATGGTAATGGATTGTTGTTATCATGGATTTGATATGAACGAGGCGGCAGTTAGCAGCTAGCGGCTAGCTAGTAATGATGCTAATGTACACATCAATCGTTATGTACTTATATTACGCTGTAACAGGATCTAGTGATATCCAACAGAGCTTCATTTAGCATGAAATAATTATTGCACTGTATATATATATATATATATATATATATATTTATATATATATATATATATATATATATATATTTATATATATATATTTATATATATATATATATATATATATTTATATACAGTGCAATAAGCTTCTTAGTGCAATACGAAGCTACAGGGACGTTAATAATGTCGGTAATATTAACTTTATTTAATACAACATTTACGGTACAAGATTTAATCATACAGCCCATGTAGTATGATAATGAATTACAGCAAACATGTGCAATATATCCATTATTACAGCTCCGTGGGATGGCAGTAAGACGATATGGATCCGTTCTTATTGTGCACCTATGGGTAAAGATAAACGCAACTCACATTGGTTTCTCATACAGCATCTCTGTAAACTACGTGTATTCACTGAATTTCACTCTGCCTTTAACGGCTCGTTGTAGCTCCAATAGCTTCAGCCCCCACCCTCCCTGTGAGCACAGTGTGCTCTGATTGGTCGGGACACGTAACATGAACGTGCCGGGCAGCGCGGTCCCGTGGGTTAGATGCGCGTTCATAATGCAGAGGGAAATAACTCTCAGAATAACGTTATTAGCACATTTTTACAACTTGAGGAACACATTTTTTTAATAAGGGCTATACAAGTGTTCATACTGGGTAGTTTATTTAGTTTAAAAAAAATTATCCAACGAGTTACAGACCACTCTTTCCCAATGTAAGTCAATGGGAAAAAGTGTTTCCGGGCCTGGAAACCAAACGGAAGTGTAGTACCGCCGTTTGGCCAGCACGAATATTTTCATCTGAGTCCGGCGCACTTCCTGGGGGCTTGGTTGCGGCTCGCCTCGAAAGTAGACGACAATAGCCGATCGCAGGCGGGGGAGGTCTCAAAAAGCTCGCCTGAAGTCGGACAGCTCGGAATCGATGCTCGGAGTCGGCTTCGTCTTCTTCTTCTTCTCTCGGTTTTTTGGCGGATTGCAAACAACTTTAAGGTGCATACCGCCACCTCCGGAGTCGGCTTGACTCGGTTTGCATTTATAAAGAATGCACACGTGTTTAATCGTTAATGTCAGATATGTAGCCTACTAAGTAAATACATTTGTTCCTGCTCAAGATTAGATTCAACTTTATTGTTATTGCACATATTACAGGTACTGAGACAACGAAATGCAGTTTAGCTTCTAACCAGGAGTGCGACAAGCAGTAAAATGAAAAGTAATGTACAAAATCTACAGAATAAAATATAGAATGAATTGAATGATGAATAAACAGGGTATGAATACACTAGATATACACAGCAGCCTGTGAGCAGTATGAACAGTGTGTATGAATATGCTAAGATATATAAAGTATGAAAACGGTAAGCAGTGCAAGTATAGTATAAAATATATGGATATTAATTTCATGATGATAAACATTGTGGAACGATGATGAAAAATGGGAATGGAAGTGGCAACGTAAAATGACACAAAACAACAACAAACTTTTGCCGAGCCAATTGGAGAGTTTCATCAGCAGCACGGGGTAAAAACCACCAATGAGCGCTCAGATCGAGATACCAGCGAGTCGTTTCCCATCAAGCATTTAGCTTCCGCAGCCCGTGGAGAGGAACTGCGCCGACTCGCCGCGCCTCGCTCTTAAGGCTGCGGGCGTCTTTGTCCCGCGAGATTTCAACGTCTCATGTAGGCGAGCCTCCAGAGCAAGTCGGACAAAATGACTAACCATCATGCAACGCACTAGCAAGACGTTGATCGCAACTGCGCAGGTCTCGCTTGTCTCAAACAAGCCTACCAGCTCTGTCCCCGTTATTTCCACACCCCCCCCCGCCTCTGTTAGCACATATTTACTGACACAAACATTTGTATCATCTGTTGTAGACCACAATAAATAAAATAAAATAAGAACTAATTCTCAAAAAAGATAAACGCCATTCTTAAAATGTATAAACGAACAATAGTTTGATTAATATTGATTAGAGTGCACAATAGAAATAAAATAATTGAGAAGAAAAAGAGATATGTTATCTATCAAAACCCAGTTAGATTAACATTCATTGGATTGCACACTTTGTTTGTTTGTTTGGATATGTAGCACATTAACATTTTAAATAGCACTTAATGACTGACAGAATGGAAATGACAATAAATGAAAATGTAAAACGAAAAAAGCGATCATGAAAATGTTTCCAAAAAATGAATTAAATGATTTTTGACCACTTTGTTGTTCAGATATATCACATATTTGTAACTAAATGAAACATGAATTTAAACAAAACACGGTATAAACTGAGGAGTGACTCCCGTGAGGTTCATGTATTTTCTTCACTCTGCTCTCATGTCAAGAAGCATCAGATCAGTGCATGCACTGCCTCGTCCAATCAGTGAGCGATACACAGTAAGGGGGCGGGGCGAGTGTCTGAGGATTTCATCGGAGGATGGTCTGGTGGTTCCTTGGTTATCGCTCCTCCATGATCGCTCCTCGCTCCTCGATCCTCGGTCCTCCGGCAGAAATAAGAGCCATGGGACGGTACTCAAGATGGCGCAGGCAAATCAACTTCCGGTGAGACCGAGGACCGAGGTTGCATTCCAATAGTCCATTTAGCTTAGGAACCTTCCTAACGGAGTGAAATGACCCGGAAGTCCCTCAGTGGCAGCCATGATAAGTGCCGTTCCAATTCTCCAAATGAAAGGAAAGGAGGTTTCAAACTTCCTTTATAACCTCCTTTAGCTTAGGAACCACTGGACCTCCCTAACCGAAAGGAAAGGAGAAAATGCTGCCCCACAATGCATTGCAGCCGCAGCATTTGCCGTCACCCAACAGTCGGCCGTTCACGGAAACAACCGATTATGACCGAGAAATGATATCATGAAAGTTACGGTGCTTATTAAGCATTTTAAAACATATGTGGTAAGTTGCCAAAGTGCTTTTTTCTGAACGTTCATCAGTATTATAATCAAAAAGAGAAATATGAACGTTAGTTTTTACTAAAATGATCAAATAAAGTCAACATTTCACAGTCTTTACTGAGCTGTGTGGGGTTTGTTCAACTTTTAAAAGATGTTTGAATGGTGATATACACAGTGATAGATGTTAAGGACTAACGTTTATAATAAATACATTTGTATTGATTTTAAGATCTTTTCATACAATCATACGTATTGGGATCATTTGTATTAATGTGGACCGGAGGGAGAGGGTGACGAGCATAAGTTTCACTTTCATTTTTTATTTCAATTCCAACTTTGGTCATGAAGAATATGTTTCTCTGTTGTCCACGTTCATAAAGCATAAAGCAACAGCGTCAGAGCACGGTGCAGAGTCTCTAGATGAGTTTACAGTAGTCCCTCGTTCTTATTATACATCCATGTTGTAGTCCGCTGTATAGAAAACTGTAGTTTCCATAGTTTCCCCACAGCAGCAGACGCACATTCATGACGTCCGCTGGCGCATCATAAACACGTCGGATAGTGAAAGTGCATTCGGATTCTCTAAAGTACCGCAGTCTCTTCTCCTAAATCCTTTTCAATTCTCCTACCCACTATCCCTTAACCCCATGACGTTTCACTCAGAGGTCAAGGAATAGGAGATAGGGTTAGAATTTAGGAGCTGATTTTTGGATTATCGGAACGCAACCTAAGTCACAACCGCTCAAACCAACTACCAACTACTACCGTGAAGTGGGCAGAGAAGGAGTCCGAGAAAGTTGCTCCCTTATGTGATGTAATATGATGCGTTTGACGTATAACGTTAAAAAACAGAACGGCTACTTCCCCCACTGAATTCCTGCCCTTATGTCTCGTAAAACATATAAAATCATGCATTAACTTTTTATTAATTGTAATTTCCAGGCAAGGTTAAGCTAAGCATAAATGTAGTAAAGCTGCAAGTTGCTCTTTAACACCTATGCAACTTCTGGTCACGTGGAATTGGCCGTTGTCATGGTAACTGTAAACAGCAGAGCGCGCACACCGGGACAAAGGAGTCAGAAACATGTCGGATGTCGGTTCTGATGAGTTTGATGATGAACGCGGGAAACTCGGGGTGAGTTTATTGTCTGTCTGTGAGTGAGTCAGATATCTTTGCTTTGTTGTAAGGAATGACGCTGGCTGAAGCTAACGTTAGCATTAGCAGGCTACAGACTGTGTGATCCGCTCTGCCGTGTCCCCGCAGGAGTATGACGGCGGGAGGAACGGAGCCGGAGAGAGGCACGGAGCCGGGAGAGCCGTCCTGCCCAACGGGGACGTGTATCAGGGCGGGTACGAGAGCGGCAGGAGGCACGGACAGGTAGAAAAACGTTTAGACCCCAACGGTAGAAAAACGTTTTCCTAACCTTAAAATAGCTTCTAACTTAGAACCTATGTTAAGGTTAGGAAAACGTTTTTAAAACTTAGAACTCCTAAGTTCTAGCCGTTTATTGTTCTAAATATGTAACTGCTGTTTAGCTAGGATTCCTCATACATGTTCATATTAAGGACATCACTGGGCCAAGGTCCATGAAAGATTTAAAATGGTATATGCAATTGGAAAATAAGATTGTTGTAGTAGACGACCACAGATTGTCAATACTGATATTTATCTTTGTCAATTATATTTCTTTATTTAATTATAATACATCTTGTTTATCATCATGAATATAGAAAGTAAACACAGTAGTTCCCTTTAACTCATTTAGCACCCAAAGTTAAAGTGAATAACAGGAGTAATAATTTCTAAAATAAATGTTTTTGACAAATAGATTGCACATTTTACAGTGTTGTCCTGGCAACGTGCATAGACAGGTCAGTCAGCATCAGCTTCAAACGGCCAGTCAGTGCAGCTCCTGCAACAGAGGCCATGGCAGGCCGTGGCAAAGCGTCTGTTTCTGAATGTACCTGCCACGTGTGCTTCTTGCAAGACAAATGTCTCTTTGACAATTCATCTTGACTCTAGGGGACATATTGCTTCAAGAATGGGGCGAGATATGTTGGAGACTATTACCAGAACATGAAACATGGACACGGCACCTTCTACTATCCCGATGGCTCTAAATATGAAGGTACAAGAATCATATTATTTTGGGATAGTTGCCAACTTCTGCATTCCATCAGTGTGTGTCCGTTTACAGTTTTGTGAAGATTATACTATTTTTCAGCTGGCAACTTTGTGTGTGTTAGGTTTGTGGGTTGAAGACCTGAGACAGGGTCATGGTCTCTACACCTACCCCAATGGAGATGCTTATGAGGGGGAGTGGCTTCATCATATGAGGTATATCTACATTTTGTGAAAGCACACAATTCTCTGTGCCAACTGGATTTAAAAGCTAGCTTGGTTTTCCATTATCTAACCTCAGTGGTGTAATTTAGTGAACAACATTTACTCAAATATAGTACTTAAGTAAAATGTTGGGGTATTTATACTTTACTTACTGTAGGTATTTTATTTTATGCTACTTTATACTTCTACTCCAATGCTTTTTGGAAGCCAATATTATATTTGTTTACTCTATTGCATTTATTTGACAAAATGAGTTACTAGTTACTGTACAGATTCAGATCATTAGCTTAAACAAAATATAAATAAACTATGGTATAAAAGTATAGGTTAAGATATACAGCAGCAGTAGATAAAAGTAGCACAACCTTTACCAGCATTCAAAAAATAATCTAGTTATTTAATAAATATGATTCTAACATTGGACATTACGCACAATGACTACTTTTACTTTTGGTACTTTAAGTATATTTGAATGCCGATACTTTTGTTATTTTACCTAAGTAAGATTTGAAATGCAGGACTTTAATTGTAACAGAGTATTTTTACACTGTAGTATTTCTAGTACGAGTACTCCTTACAACAATGATCAATGATTAAGACCTTTGCTAAATCACTGCTGGAGACAACTAGGTTGCATATGTTATTTCAACAGCCTGACAAAGTGATTTCAATAAACAGGATGTATATTTATTTTTAACCAAAGCTAAGTTTCAATATCGTCACCTTTTTACCTGAACATTACCAAACCCATTCTAAATACCGTTAATAGCATTTCAGAACTGCTGACATCCTTGGTCTCATGTGATTGCTAGGCATGGCCAGGGCATTTACAACTACCAGGAAACTGTCTCCAAGTACAAGGGCTCATGGGTAAATGGCAAGATGGAGTCAGCTGGGGAGTATATCCACTCTAACAACAGATACATGGGTAACTTTGTCAACAATAATGTAAGTTTTACTTTAATACCTCACAAAATGCAACATTTTATTCACCAACTAAAGTGTACATACCACATTAAACACATACACAACACAACAGTGGCGAGCCGCTGGTTTTATAACAAGGCCCTCTGACCCCCCCCTTCCCTCAAAAAAAAAGAAGAGTTATTACGTTACAGGCTTTAAGTCTATGGTCACAGCGTAGACTTCAGCCGAATATCAAAACAGCGGCCCGGGGTGCAAAACGCATCAATGACAGCGACCCTCTACCACACAAAACAACACCATTTATATAAACACCTATCATGACAGGGCACCCACAGCCAAGTAACAATTACAAATGAATTAAGTCGGCACGGCGGCCCGCATTGAAAATGACTTAGGCCTACCTTTGATGATCAAATCACTCAAACACAAAGTCCATCCTCCTGTCCTTTTGGATGAAGCACTTGATGGCGGGTCATTCAGCTGATCCTTTGCCACTCCAGTTTATCATTGGAACTCAATCTTGAAAATGACTCGGTTAATAATTTCGCGACAATGTCATCACTATCACTGAAGTGAGCCATCATGAACGAACTTATGCTAATCATAAATCTATCCATCATAAATCTATCGATTAGATTTATGATTCGAAAATAATAAAAGTAGGGTAGACATGTGGATATTATCCGGCTGAACAAAACGTGCATTTATCTAACAGGTTCGTTTTCCACTGACCTTATTTCAAGCTATTTTCCAAAATCCTATGGAGAAATCCCACTGCTTTTTTGTCGAGGGCACCCGAGCGCAGCTTACTTCCGGGTTTTAGGATGCGTCACTGCAACACATTATAGAATGGCGAAGTCACGCCCATCTACTTCCGGTCCATGGGACCTTATTTCGGAAAAATAATGTATTGAAGTCAATGGAGAGAGAAAACGTATCTTTCGATCCCGTTTGAATTGTGCCATGAATTACACATATGATGTTTGTCAATCTTAAAAAATAATGTCCATGTAAAAAAAGTCACAGTTTGTTGTAAAACTGTTGAAATATAAGACTATGAAAAATACGCAACTAGAAAGACTACAAATCCCAGAGTCGCGTAAGTGATGTCACAATTGTTTTCCTCCACTAAGAGATAGCTAAGATCTATATGGCGCTGGCTAAGATAAGATAACTTTAACAAGATGCCTGTGTGCTTAGTACCAGGTTGTTATCATACTAGCAATGGGTCTTGCTCGTTCTTTCGCTTCCCGTCTGATGAAAGGACCAGGAGTGGCTGGATCAAGTTAGCTACCTAGCTAGTAGCTAGCACGTTAGTTAGCATTACAGCCTTGTCATTTTTATTAGCCTTCATATGAAGTAACATTAAGTAACCCAAAATGTTAAACAGTAAGAGTATTAGTCATATTTCGTGAACCCTTTGAAGAGTACTGTCACACCGGTGTGATCATTCTATAATACACCTGTAGAGGAAACTTCTGTGTAGCTATGCAGTGGGAGTCACCGACTCAGGAAGGAGACACGGGAAGAGCAGTAGCTTTGATGTCAAACACATGATGGTTTATTTGGAGTTAACGGCCGGAGAATTCACATCACAAGTCCAAGAGCCAGAGGTTCTGACTTCACGGTAGAGTTGCCACGTCAATTCTGAAGAACTCTACCCCAGACCCATGTATTTAGCTAGTTCAGAGAGCATCATCAACATGCTGCATAACAAGATAGAATGATAACACCTCTATCAGCTGACGCCAACAGGCAGGAACAGGGAGACAAAACACTGAGAGCACAGCAGCCAAGGTTACAGGTGCCTGTGCTCAGTCAGGACAGTTTGAACTGATACACTGGGTCAAAGTTATGGGCCTTGGAAAATATTCCACAACAACACCATTTAAGCCCGGGGGAGAAATGCTAACACTAGCATCGGCGATCACAATGGTTGACATTAAACATTAAAAAGACCAGGCAGTTCAGAGAGAATCAAAGGAAGGCAGGCAGCTTTGCATGACATTCTTCTGGACGTGTTTCATTGTGGTGACAGTGAGGGTAGTCAATCCTTTTGTTGACAAGACAGTAGTGACGGCCATCTTGTTGACGTGTGTTGTTCTGCGAGACCAGAGATGTAGTTCATTGAGCGTTTCACACAAACAAATATGTTACTTCACAATTTTACGACACTTTTTCTTTTTTTTTACTTGCAAAATTATCTTTTAAATTGACAAACATCATATGTGTAATTCGTGGCACAATTCAAACGGGATCGAAAGATAATCTTTCCCTCTCCATTGACTTCAATACATAATTTTTTCGAAATAAGGTCCCATGGAGGTCCACCGGAAGGGGAGGGACTTCGCCACTCTATACACATGCATAAACTTCACAGCGGGCGGGCGTAAAGTCCGCGGAAATAAAGCCCACCCAGAGGGAAGATATGATTGGTCAATTGTACTGTCATTTGACATTACTCTCTCTGTGAATGTAGAGAGGGACCACCAAGCTCTCCTGTCTTCACAGTAACTCGCAGAGATGACATTTAACCCTTTACATTCCAACAGAAACTAAACAGGCAGATTCGAAGGATTTATTTCTTTGGAAATGTTATTTTAAAAACAATTAAATCAAGTTATTTTGGTAAAACTAATGAAAAATATAATTAAAGAAATATTTAAAAATATATATTTTTAAAAAATGTTTTTTTTTTTAATGTTTTCAAATATTATTTTTTAGAATATCTTAGGCCCTCAGAGAGGGCCTAGAGGGCCCTGACAGCTCGCCACTAAAACACAATACACACAAATAAAACCCAGGTTGTAATAAAACATGTTTTACATTACATTTACATCCTCAGCCGTCCGGCCCGGGGAAGTACGTGTTTGACGGCTGTGAGCAGCACGGTGAATACCGCCCCGCTGAGCAGGTGATCACACAACCACACAACTCTTTCTCCTTACTGTGTCTGCAAACAGAAGGGATAGCATTCATGATATGACACTGAGTGTACTGAGACACAAGGTAACCATGACAACTCTCTTAACTTAAACTCCAGCCAGCGACTGATGAGGAGAACGGTAAAAATCTAAAAACACAGCGGACCCCCTACCTAGGCTCCAGAGAGGGGTATCTCAGCACCGAGGAGGTGCTCTAACTCCAGAGTGTGTCAGTAGAGACAGGCGTGTCCTTTCTGTCTGCTAGAACAACTCCTTCTTCCTTAGTTAATCTGTTCTAAGTGCATGTTTGACTTTATATGCATGACGATCAGTCACGTTGAGTGACTTTATCAAAACTTCAGGATTCATGTTTGTGGCTGCACAATTTAGAAAAATGACTAGTTGTGATTGACTGATATTGCCAATGCGATATGATTTGCGATTCACATGATCATTGAAAAATAATTTTCAATGATCATGGTGTGATTTTTTTAAGAGGATCTATAACAAACAAGCATATCGTGGTATTACATTTGGATTAATTAGGCAGCACGTTACATGTAAATAAAAGTGTGTTGAAGGTGCGTACCTAATGGTGTGCGTTTTGCTTGCAAATAAAACCAAAATGAATGTTAACAATATATTGTAGAACTTTTTCTCACAGTGTGTTTTTCATTCTATCCAGGACCGAGCTGAGGGTGAGTGGGGAGAGTCGGGCTCGCCTGCCATCCTCAAGTGGATCCCCAAGTGTGTAACCGAGTTGACGCTGTGGACAGGCACACACACCTCATGTGAGCTTTATCAAAAAAAACTAGAATATAACAGACCTGCTGTAAATGTACCATCATCTGAAGGTCAGCCTTTATTGTTGATGATGTTTCTGAGGAATACATTCAACAGTTCAAAATATTGCAAACACAGAGTTGATGTGCCGTTCAGTGTTAACGTGTGTTTTCTTCTGTCAGGTGCAGAAAATGACAGGGCTTCAGCAGAGGCAGAGAACTGACATGTCTGATCAATCCTCAAACATAAATATACTAATACATTTGTAAATTAGCCTTGTCTCTTTCTTTGAAGGTGTTTAGTAGAAGCAACAGGAAACATTTCCTTATATAATGTGCTGCCCCTGTCTGCTAATCTCCAAACAGCTTCATATGTCTGAAATACATCAAACGCTACCAGACCTGGTATATTCACAGTGTTCCATTTAAAAAAAGGTGATAGAGGAAGTTAATTAAATAAATCAAATTATTTGTAAACTATTTACAATTTAAAACAGGGTAAGAATGTGTTTTCTGTTGTTTTGTTAGGAGGTTGCTGCTTGAATGCTTTCAGACAATTTTACTGTGTACTTTTTTTGTTAGGTTAGGTTCTGACAAATAAAATTACTGAAAAACATACTTTTATTTTTTTATTTAATCGTTTATTTCGCAGGGACAATGCACTGTAATAAACACTTAAAACATTCAAATGTATCAAGCGTAACAGTGCCTGATTTAACTTTCAGCTAATTTCCATCCGCAGTCCCTCACATAAAAACATTTAAGAAATTTACATTTGACAAACATTGCAAAAACAAATACATGATATGCAAAAAGTGCAAAAGAGCAAGAGCAGCATACACAAGTATTTATGACATGGTAATACAATATAGCAGCAACGACATATAAAGTGCAAGAGAAGATACAAGCGATGCAAAAAATGCAAGAGGAGATACCCCTGTGTTAAAGTCATAGACTGTATATATAAATGGACGTAGGGTCCGTGACGTCACCCATAGGATTCTGCAGAGTTGCCGAGAAGCCCTTAGTAGGCGGAGTCGGCCACTAACGGCTCAACAGTGACGTCAGAGTTAAACTCCCGCCTGTTCCAGCCTGCTCCAAATAAGGGCAAAGAGGCGGAGCCGAGGCGGGACCTGCTGCCACCGAGCTGGAAGTTCCAGAGCTAGCTGAAGCTACCAAGCTAAGCTAACATGCTCCCCATCTGCACGCTGCCGTCGCATTTTACGTTTCTAAGGTAAGCGGACATGAAACTATTCAGCAAAACTATAAATAATAATCTAAATTATTGAGTTTTTAGCATAATAATTCAGAATCTTAAAATCCCTTAACATTTGTATGCAATTGTGCTAAATTCAACACTGGAATCAAGCACATATTAATATGTTTGCATGACATTAGTTATTTATATTTTTGATATTACTTAATTACACGTTTAATACATTTAAGTCAAGCTAAGGTACATGTGATGGTAGCTAGTTAGTGCTCTTACCTGTGAGGCCTCCTCCAAACAGCATAATAACCAGACTGTATCATTAAAACTAAGTACCAGTTATAGATCCATGACTTTAGACAAACAATTAAAAAGACAAAATGTATTTAAAGACCCATCTTTATTTGAATGTGCCTCTGCTGCAGGCCAGAGTCCTGCATCGGGTCGGGTACCCGACGGGTGACCCGCAAAAAAGGTGATTCGCAGGTGGTATTTTTTCAAACGCTTTTTTCCGGGTTCGGTTCTGGGTAAAACAAAGATGATGCGGGTCGGGTCGCGGGTATTGCATAATAAATATATTAAAATAATAATAATTTAGTTTAATGTTTAAAATCCTCAGACCTCTCCCCCGCGGGACCGCGCATTCTTTCACACACACATACGGGTATTGGGCCGAGCGCGACACCGTACTTCCGGTCTGCGCCGTTTTACGCGAGGTGCAAGCAGCCGTACACCGTCTAAGTGTTGCTAAGCTTCCTGTACTGAATATCATAGTCTATTGCCTTAATCAATATCTCAAAAATACCACATATATGCAATGGCATGATAATATTATTGTGACAAGTGGGGTATTCACCTGGTGTTTCCAGAAATTAGACGTAGATGCCGCCAAAATCGACGAAGGCCACTGTCGTTTTTCCATACATCTGCAGGCAGTCTGTAACAACCCACACAGCTCTAGTTTACGCTGGTAACGACCTAAAGCACCCTCAAGTCCAGAGATGTAATCCGAAGACATGCAGCGATTTCTTCGGTCGTTAATTCAGAAAAAAAACCTACTGCGCTCTGCCTGGCTAGTTAGCTAGCTGTTTATATTTGCACTTCCAGGATATTAGCACCTCCAGGAAAATGGCGCATTTATATATATTTATATGGCACGTGTTGCATTGTGGGTAGCTCGTGACGTCACTGTGTGTGAAAGAATAATCATAATCTCTGCAGCGCATCAATCTGCTGCTGTGCGCGCCACATTCGAAATGGCTGAGGTGAAGCTCTCTAGCGGAGAATACAGCATTTTCAATAACAGTTCCTCAAGAGCGAAATCCAACGTCTGGGAGGCTTTTGGTGTCATCCTAGATGGAAAAAATAACCAACATCCCATGCTTTTTGAGACAAATATGCAACTGCGTGTGTTAATAATTGCACGTTTTGACTGCTCATATATAGGCGGGTTCGGGTCGGGTTGCGGATCTTGTGCCGACGGGTCGGGTCGGGTTGCGGAACTAATTGGCAATATGTGCGGGTAGCGGGGCGGGTTCGGTATTGCACGTCGCGGGTGCGGGGCGGGAGCGGGTCTTGAAAATCAGACCCGTGCAGGACTCTGCTGCAGGCCCCTCTCCCCTCAGTAAATGTAAGGGCAGGAGGCAGTGCCACTTTTGCATGGACAGAAAGAGGAGAGTTTGCAGCACCTGCTGCAAATGTTGGAAGTTCACATGCAAGGACCACCGTCTGTCTATTTGCAGCCCCTGCTCAACCTGAGCTGGACTCTCACACCCACACACACAGTGTTCATCAATCAATGTTCATCTTTCACATATACATGTTTTTTATGGTTCAAACTGATCTTCTATTTTTCTTTTTTTAGGTCACACAACCATGGATCTAGAAAAAAATATCCATGGGGTGGCAAGAGAATTTCAGGGGTGGCATCCCCTGGCAGAAGTATATGCTGATTTAATCGCAGTCATATCAATTAATGTTAACTTGGAAAGCCACAGTATTTATATTTTAACTGAATAACATTAGGTGACATTATTGTGGCACATCAGTAAAGCCTTACATATAAATATATAAGGTGGCAGACATAATTGAATGAATTTTAACTGAACAATAACTGAATGAGTTTGACTCTTAGACCAGCAGGGGTACCCATACTGGTGGCGACTGGTCATTAGGGGCAGCCCCACCTAGTGTCAGCAGAAAGTATTACAAATAATGATTACAAAAAAAGGGAAAAAAAACTGATTTGTCTGTATATTGCTGTTTTAGTATGTGTTCTTCTAATTAGTGTCTACAGTGTGTGTCTATTGAGCTGTTTAGAGCCATATGGGACAAAACCCGATCATGCCCCTCCCTCTCACTGTCTAAGTGAACGGTGACTGTAAAAACTACACTGCGCATGCTCAGAGTATTTTCCTATTTAATGTGTGTGGCAAAAAAATAATGACCATAGGGGCATAGAGCTGTCATCCCCACCATACATCATCTCACATAATTCAGAGCTGATTGGCTGTAAGTACGTGCGCCGCGAGTGTGTGAAGAGGAGACGAGAGAGGTGCAGTGACGCATCCTAAAACCCGGAAGTAAGCTGCGCATGGCTTCCCTCGACAAAAAAGCAATGAGATTTCTCCATAGGATTTTAGAAAATAGCTCCAAATAGGATCTGTGGGAAACGTACCTGTTAGATAAATGCACGTTTTGTTCAGCCGGATAATATCCACATGTCTACCCTACTTTTATAATTTTCTAATCATAAATCTATCGATTAGATTTATGATAGACTTTTGAAACTACAAGAAGATAAGGAGGACTTTTACAAAAAAGTAATAGAGATTTTTGTCCAGAAGGATAGGCAAATGGACTTCATCTTCAAGTCAAGGTAAGACCGCAATTTTATTAAAAATGGGATCTTACTAAGAGAGAACAATTCAATATTTAAATTATACAATTACATTTTTTGGGTATCCTTTTGTTGAACCGTCTGTTTAAAATTAATCGAAGCATCAGACAAAAAAAACCTTTTGAAAATAATATTATATTTGGATTTAGGTCAAAATATAATATTTGTAAACCTGAAGAGTCAGTGCCTCACCAGCCATGAACCTCACTGCACGTCACTGCAGAAGCTTATATATAGACAGGTTTGCACATAACTTTTTTGCCCTGGTTCTCAAAGGAGCACCTGGAGATGTTGCTTGGTGCTCATCCTTAAAATGAAATAAACTGTAACTTTTGAGGGGGTCTTGACTCTATTTGCCAGACACACGGCACTGAACACACATGCAGAGGTGAACACAAGACAACATTAGCACGACCAGTAATCCTACAAGCTGTCATCACTACCCTCATGACTTCTCCTCACTGTCTTCCTCTCTGTCAGACATGGTAGCTGATGAATGATGTAGGCCTACTACTTTCTCTCTGTTTGAGTCTGCGATTAGCTGCTGGTTTTGGGTCGAAAGTCTCTGTTGTCATCTTAGAAAAGTGGATGTAATCAAATAAGTATGTGAACATAACCAATAACCTACCATAGCCAATAACAAATTAATGTAACTTATTTTATTTATGTTGTTCATTCCTTTCTTATTTTACCTTAACATTTATTTATTTATGCATTTTTTTTTATCTCTCCAGTTTTAAAGGATATTTGTGGTTGCTGTCCTATAGTATACATTGGAATGATTTCAAACCTATCCCAATAATTATAAAGGAGTGCCTTGGAAATATGTGTTTACATAAATTGTGACCAAACCGTTTGAACTTAGACTAAAGTGAACTATCTAAACACTCAGAGTCCTTTACCTCACTGAGCTGTAGTTATCAGCCTCTCAGTCTGACTGGAGAGGACTCTCCCTCCACATTATTGTAGAAACATCTTCTTCTTATATCCGTTAGAGCAGCGAGCACCAGATTCTAATAACAACAGCGCCGGTACCGGTGCACCCTCCCTCTCTCCCTCGCTCACTCGCATTTAGGCTGTGAGCTGCGGGCGCCAGATAAGCCAAAATCCCCCATTTTCATCACTTACAGCGCCCATCATACAGGGTAAATGAAACGTGTAAACGGGGTGAAAAGGGTGTTACATTTACTTCATTGTGAATATCGTTACATCAAGGCCGAAAATTAGGATGAGCACCAACGGTCAAAAATGTTTTTTTCCCTCCCAGACGCTCCCAGAGCTGCCAGCGCAGCGCCTCCACAGATCTGGCGCCCTAGGCGAACATCTATTACGCCAGTGCTACGGGCCGGCCCTGAGTCCATATCATAGGTTCATATCAGTCTTTGGTTCATATGCAACTCTCAAACTCTCTACTCTTTTCTCTCTTCAGATGCGCCGAAAAGTCCTGAATGTGCGGCACTGTCAGGCGTAGTGGCGTCGTTGAGTCGGCGGTAATCCCCGCACGGGCGG